TCAATTCGATTCGAGCCACGTCGATTGCTTAAACATGCAGTCTTCGCCTCGTTTGTCTCGTAAAATTCAATGGTCCTCCGGTTCATTCGACGGCAACAATACGCGCGTGCCCCCGGGGGATAATAACTACGTGCTTGATACCGTGACTTCCCTTACAGAATCCACGCTAAACTCGTTCCCCTTTTTTCCCTTAAAAAGAAAGGACGCGGGCCAATTTGAGGCTCGTATTATCTCGTTGTTCTTACACGCTCCAATAAGCGGGACTGCGGCACGACGCATAGATAAACGATTTTTACCCCATCGGCTGCCGTTTACGCCGCGAGACGAGCGAAATTTCTTCCTTTCGTCGTGCCGATCTCCGATGCCTTTTAACATTGATTTAATATCCCCTCCTACTGCCTCCTTCGTTATCTTCTTTCTCATTAACATCGATATCATTTCCCCGTTACGCTTCATTAACGCGTTTAACGACCATCCCCGTTGTCGCGTTCGCCACCCCGTATCGTCGACGATATTCGAGTGTTTAATGAACTACAACCCTAGATCGTCCGAGATAATGCTACCGTGTTATTCGATATTCTCCAGCGACCACGTTTCGCAGTGTCCCGCAGTGCCAAATTCGTTTTCGCGTCGGGAAAAAGCAGTCTCAAATGACTATGGGTCTTGCAACGTCTCGGTAATCATCCCTCTGACCCTGATCGGCGATTCGATTCGGAACGGAAGTCAAGGAGGAGTGAAACGAGGGAAAAGAAGGCGGTAATAGTAACAATAAACGGAAAAACAAGGAAATGAACGAACGATTCTCTTTTATATTCGACCAAATTAAACTACCAGAACGATTTTCTCCCCCATTATTCGTCACGCTAATGAAATACAGCGCCATCGTAGCGTGACGCGGTAGACAGAGAAGATTTCCCGATTTTTTAATTTTCATTCCCGTTTTTTTTTTTTCTTTTTTCTTTTTTTTCACTCGTCCGCTTTCCCGCGATCGAGTTAGCATATTTCGTTGTCGTCCAGCAAATACGCGGGGATACGAGCGAACTTTCGAAACTCGAAGACGCGCGCCGGTTATAGGCGTCGGTAGTTCTTGCCAAGGGGCTGGCGTTTGATCTTCGAGCCGGTTCGTCGGGTCTATTGTGAATTGTATCTGCTTCCTTTACGCCCGATTCCATCCCCCTCTTCGCTCCTTCAACCCCCGTCACGCGTTCCGTCGCGCGCGCGGCACAGAATCTCCTCTCTTTTGCAGATTTAATGTTGCCTATTGTAGAGCGTCGCCTCGCATGCCTTCCTCCTCTCCATCCTGTCCTTCTCCCTGCGTCCTTTTCTCCTTTATTCGCCCTTTACCCACCCCAGCCTGGATCCATGATATAACAATTACACCCACGAGTTATCAGCTGCCACCCTCTGCGAGCTCTTCACGCCGATCGTATCAAAGGTACACCTTCCGTATTTTTATCCGAACGTTTCGCCAGAAACGAAAACGGTCCTCTTCGAGACCGGTCCCAGCGCTGTTTGTCCGCGAGACGGTCTGCCTTGGGTTCAGTTGATTCAGGCAAACGGTGTGGGTCGTAGGTGTCGTTAAACGGACGTAAGTGAATTTGCGCGATGGTTGACTCATTAACGAGAAAGTGGCTAGGTTGGCAAGCGGCAAGGGTGGCGAGAGGGTTTAAAGCGTTTTGAAAGAAGTCTTCCTCGAGGCGGTCCGGGAGGGTTCGAGCCTAGGAATATCCGATTATCACAGAACGCGACGCGTATCCGGATAAACGTTAATTAGTTCGCTGGAAATTTACCTGGCCGTTGCTCCCCTTGGAAAGCAGTGCTGTGAGCTGTTCCGACTGCGTTTACAGAATATCGTGCGTCATTTCATCGCGATCGGGGGCGGTTACTGTGTCACTGATCCGTCGCGGATATGCTTGTTGTATTTATTGAAAAATTATTCCCTCGTCATTTTTCGATATCTCATTCGACGTCCATATTTAATTTTTTATGTGCCATACGCGAGCAGCGCAAATAAATACAGGAAAGTATCGACGATTCGAGCGTGGGAGAAAAATCGCGCTCGTTTCGACTTATTATACCGCGCGATGCACGGCATTCGATCACGGCTGGTAAAATGAGCCGAATGATCCGTGGAAATAGTTTCGACAATCTCGCCGACTTCAGGGATTTCCAATTATCTTGGGACGTAAGTACGTTTTGTACATCCGGAATAGTTAATGCCCGCAACGTGGAGTTAACATCTGTATGGAATTAACCGTTCGCTAATATCTGCTTCGGGGATCATCCTGTTTCCTTTCGGATCTTTCCTCGGATACAGCGGTGATACTTTGACTCTCGCTTCATCAATGTGTCGTGTCGCTCCATTTTTAATATCAAATCTAATATCGCGTGTAATATTTTAATATCACGATAAGATAATTGTTTAGAATATTTTTTCCTTCCTCTAATTAATTAAAAAGCATATTTCGCGTTTCAATATATCGCGCAGGGATTGTTCATTTCCTTCCTCATCGTATAATTCACTTTCGTATGTATGTAAAGCTATGACATCGTTTCTCGTCGACAAAGCGTTCTGTTTCCAAAATCATCCGTGTAAGAGATATTTTTTTTTTTTTTTTTCACGATACAGTGTCGCGATATTCCCGAAAAATCTGGTTTGTAGCGTTATGAAACGCGGAGCAGTGACCCCGGGCCTACCCCCTTCTCCGTTCCTCTCTGCCACGTTTTATTTGCATTATAAAGCCCACTATACAAAAGGGGAGGGACGGGGTGACATACTGTACACCCACACCTTTACGTGATTGACGGAAGATACTCCGTTTGGTTAAATAAATCTCGGAAATTTAATATTCGATCGACGAATCGCACGCTCTCCTGTAACGATCAAATTTTTCCCGATTATATGAAATTTAACCGTTTAATTGCGCGACTTTGTTGAACGCGCGAACCCGTGAAATTCGCTCAACCGGTTGCGCCATTGCCGATTGTATTTTGTATAATTACAGGCAAACGCGACACAGGCAAACATTATGTTAACGGAAACGACCTATTTCATTCTCTAACGTGAAAGATATTCGAATATCACGCGTGATTTACGACCATCATCTTTATTGGTTTCCGATAAAGTCTTTGGGAAAAATCGCTACAACGTTGGAACCACCAATTTCTAACGTGTACTCCGATTTGCTATACTTAACAAATTTTTTAACGTTCCAGCGTTTCGAGCCTCATTTCTCGATTCGTTCATCTAGTCGTGCCTGTACCGCATGATTGAGGGAAAAAACAACAGGTTGTTTCTTCGCGACACAATCGAAATGACTCGGAGCAACGATCCACGAAGGAAAGTTTTCACGTGGTATTCTCTTGGATTAACAGACAGGCCATCGAGGAGAGATTACGAAAGGAGATCCCGCAGAAGGGATGAAATGTGGAAAAGTGGCACGGGCGTTCGGGATTTCGGGAGCGCGTACCCGTACAGGCTGAACGGCTGTCTTGGAGATTACTACTGATTCCATCCAGGCGGTGCGTAGAAAGGCGTTGTCTTAGAATAAGTAGGATAATCGTAAGCAAATTTTCGGACGGTATTCCTGAATGAATGGGCCGATCAACGTGGGCGACCTCGTTTCTCGTAATTACATTCTAAACCCCGGGGTTCCAGTATTCCCCGGGTTACCTGAGGCTTCCGTTAGGTCCGTTTAGCTACTGCAAGAAGGCTCTGGGTGACAAACAACTTGCCACATTGCGCTATTCGTCACGTGACCATTAAGCAGCACGGTCGTTTCTTTCAATGGCACGTGATTTGAATATTCCTACGATATCGCGCGAGGCTCGTGGCAAGGAATTCGGGCCAAACATGAGCGCGAGAGGCGTGGTTGGTAGATGGGGCCCAACGTAAATAACACGCGTTATTCTTCGCCTCTTTCGGACGATAGGCTCGACGCGCGATCTACTCTGCTCTGTTGATTATGGCACGCGTCACGGGAACTCGGATCTTAGGGGCAAAGTGTCAAAGTGTCGCGAAACATATAATGGAACGATGGAACGGTTGGAACGAACGAAATTAAATCTCGCCTTTAATTTTTCTCGCCTCTCCGATGGCGGAGAGGAAAAGTAAGAAAAAGAGGAAGAATCTCGAACACCGTGCTCTCGGTCAGATAACTACGCGAGGGAAAGATTAATCACGATTCCAAAGAATTCGCGTACATACGAAGACGCGGTAAATAATCTCACATTCTCGAGAGAGAAGAGGAAATATCGCGCTGGTGGATCGAAAGCTGAGCGGTGCGAGGGAGAAAGGTGGATAGGAAAGACAGACAAAGGGATGGACATACGGGACGAGGGCAGGATGAACGAAGATGGGCGAGAGAGTATCGGATAGAAGGAGGATGACTCGAACTGGGAGGGGGTAGGAGAAGAGGTGGAAAAAAATCCGGGGATTTACGCGGAAAGGGCAAAATATTCCCCGCCCAGGTCTCATTCAACCCCCGAGTACGGGGTGGCTTTGGGTGAGAAGCGTGCGCCCTCATTGGCGGAAAGGCTAATATGGCGGTGTTGGGGGTTGCGAGGTGGGGCGACTGTATGCGATATTAAGGGCTGCTTTCATGTCGGACGAGCCAGTTCGTGGTGCGCCGTCGATTGACGCATTTTCTTTCCGAAGCTAAAGCGAGTCGCGTGGAATATCGACGCTCCGTCGTTCCTTCTCTTTCTCTTTTCGTATCTTTCTATCATTCCTCGATTCGCGTTCCCGTTCGTTCGCATTCACGCGCGTAATCTCCATCTAGACGTGTACATTTCTCTCATTTTGCTCGCGCCAAAACGAGCCTTCTTCTCCGAAGCTCCATCTGCCCGCGAGCAACAGCGGGAAATACGATTTTCTCGATCGGTCATCCCCGATGAGAGAGGATCTCTCGTCAGTGTACTATCGTGGACTGAACGCCGCTTCCGGTTACCCCTCGACGCGGTTGCAACAGTGATTTCCGGCGACTCTGCCGCGAAGAAGCATGGCGCAAACTTACAATCAGAAGAGGAACGTGTACAGCATCGACCAGATATTGGGACACGGGAAGGACGAAGGTGAGATCTTGATTTTTTCCTCGCGTATTCCACTCGCGATCGCGCGGACACGGCGATCGAACGGGAATCGCGAACCAGTCGCGCTCGGGATTCTTGGATCGTCGATTAGAGCTCGGTTAATCGAAGTCATTCACGTTTTCGTCCCATTCATTCGATCCGGGAGAATTTAAAATATAATTGATATCCTCGAAATAGCTGGAACGTGCAGAACGGCGAACGAGGCGTGATCGGCTGTATTTACTCGTGGCGAAATACCCGCGCACAGCAAGCGAGCTCGCAAAGCAATATTGCATTATTATCTACTATCTAATATCGTTAAGTAAACTGAGGTCTCATTTACCAACATTTTATTGCTGCCGCATCGATCTGACCGCGGCTACGATATAAAATAAAAAAAGTTTCTAACTAAAACAAAGTGGGTTATCTATCTTAACCCATCGACCACAGGCATCAGATAGGCGTCGTAATTGTATAGCAATTTAGCAAATGGCGTTTTACCGATTTTTAAAATCGTTAACATCGATCGAGCCATCGATCTTTTCGTTAATGCCTACACCTCGCCGTTCGTAGAATCCACGCTAAGTATACGCATAATCGTCGCGTTAGGAATTCCATTTCTCTTCCGTTTCGTTACGCGTACCTTACCTAATTGCCTGCGAGCGTAAAAAGGCTAATTAGGTCGAGGTTCGAATCTGTAGCGACGATCAGCACGATGTAAATTTACGACGTGACTTATAGCACGCGAACGGTCAGCACCGCTGCATGTGCACGCTTGTTTGCGAGCCTATTTTCCATGGGAGCCTCGCGAACGCACGAACACGCAATTATTTCATTAAAATATATCCAACAATGGATTTCTCAAGAAAATACGATTAAGCATAATATCGTTAATTCCTGCATCGCGCCACGTGCCGCGCTGTCGCCAGCAAATTATGGCGTTTCTATACGCGAGCCACCACCCACGATCGTTTCGCGAACTGACATCAAAAGACGTCTCGAAACGCGATGTAACCATCGACATAATACAACCAACGTGTACCCCGTTTCTTCGGTTACGAAGCCGTAACGCGATTACGGGGATATTTCTCCTCGTACTTTGGTAGCGACGCGAACGTTGCTGAAAAATCGTGGCACGATTCTAACCCGATCGCCCCGCTGATACGCCATAGAAGATTAATCAACTAGCGTAAAGCTACACTTATTAAATTTCCGCGAAGATACTCGCGGTACGCTGATTTTTTGCTCCGTAAAGGATTATCCGGACCAGTTTAGCGGTGAACGTATTACCCGTAAACCCTCTTAAGGATTTTATTAGATTTCCAGCGTAAAGCCGGACCTTGTGTAATCCGTTCCAGCGAAATGTATCTTGTTCAGGAAGACGCGATACGAGTTATCCCGAACTCGTTATCCGTGTCGTTTAGAAGCGACCAAAAATAACCAAAGACCACCAGACACAGAGGAAACAGTCTCTTTTCGCGAACGATTCTTCTTCTCCTTATTTTCCCACTCGCCACTTGTCGCGTTAATTGTTTGCCGATCGTACTTGATCGAATTTTCATACATCACGAATTGATAACGCGCTTATGTACGTTCCATGATACATGCAGGTACACAAGTAGGAACACAGTCGATGATCACTGTATACAGGTGGACAGATTATTGGCCTGTCCCGATTGTGGCGTGCAGAAATCAGGATGTGTTTGCGGATTTCGATCGTACAGTCGTCTAACATAATTAATGCGTCTGACAATAACCGTGCATCGAGTATCCATTGATACGGCTTGCCGGGTATCGCTTACAGATCGACACGTTCCCTGTCACGGATCGTGGAAAGGTGGAAAATTATCGAGCTTCGTTTTCGCTCTTTCTGATCGCTGATTTACACCGCGTTGGAATTTTCTCCTCTACTTTATGCCAATGGAATTTCCTCCTCCACTTTACGCGAATGAAATTTCCTTCTCCACTTTACACGAACGGAATTTTCTTCCCTCGCTTCGCGCGAACGATATTTCATCGATTAATATTCGCGTGTCGCCGAGGAAAAGGTCCAGGGAGTTTTCCGAATCAAGAGCTCGAATTTTTCCGTCGTCTCGGAGTTCCGAGAGTTCAGGGAAGATCGATTGAACGATAAATTTGCACGGCGAACGTCTGGTAGGAGGAAAGATCGAGGCATGTGGTCATCGGCATGGTAAATAAATCTTTAATTTCGTGCCGCGAACTGCCTTCCCGTGCCACCCTCTATGGCGCAACCCCTATCGGTGGGTCGTAGATTTAATAAAAAGCAGCGGAGAGTTAGGCATCAAGTGGGTGCCCCATTGTGACCTAGCATGAAAACATAAAAATCTCTCTATTCACCGTGGATTATCCGTACGTTGTTTGCGTAAATGTTAGTGCGATTACATGCATACGCACGTACATATGCACGCGCACACACCCGCTCTCTCTCTCTCTCTCTCTATCTCTCTATCCATCTCGTTGTCTCTGTGTCTGCACGCAGTCGACGAGTATGTCAGTTCGAACGATCCGTCCAGTTCGCAATCTATCACAACTGCCGGTTAGAGCGGCACCGAAAAGTAGGATTAACGTTATTATGCACGAGTAGCAAATGCGCGTCTAATTAGTTCGAGCAAATGCATGTAAGGGGATGATGGGAGCTGTGCACAAGGGCGAGATTGATATTGAAACTTTATAAGCCGGTACCGGTGGCTGTCATCGCGTTGTTTAATTTCGTTTCCGATGCTGGCCCATGATATAATCAAATAAGACGTTTTGCTAACGAACTTTGAATTATCCATGATGAAATTCATTTCCGCAATTCGAGCTGCTCAGCAATGATAGATTATCTTCGACACGGTGTCGGTATAATATCATCGATAACCAGATTCGTCGAATAAACAACGAAACCAGCTCTGACAAACTTATTCGGATCACCGAACGAATTTTCCCACTTTTTACCCTTTTATCGTCGATTTTGCTTCTTCGTTCTCGAGGTTGCACGTGCAAGCGCGAGAAGAAAGGATATATAACGAAGATAACGAGGCGGAAAAGGCGATAGAGAGAAACGTAAAGGAAGCAAGTAAGGGAGCCAGCAAGTGCGATAAGGTGACAGAGCTAATAAAAGTTAGCGAGAGGAATAAGTAAGGGTTAGAGGAACGAGCTACAGTACGCTACGTGCAAGGGTTGCAACGCGACAGGGGCGGCGGAGGGGGCCGAGCGCGGAGGGCACGGTGTACGACATGCACTCGCGATATTTGCTAATCACTGACGACAACGGTTTTTAAGTACTATCGAGCGTGTACGTATAATGTACAGGCTCGCATCGATGCGTTATATTTCATATATAGGAGGATGTACAAAAAGTAAAGCGCCGGGTGAGGCTTAAAATTGGCAAATCCGCCGATCGGACATGATAGGCGTATCGGGCGTATATCGGCGCCAGTCGTTGCGCGGCTTAAAAATGAATTGCACCCACACCGACTCCGCAGCATCTCCAACCTTTTCTACCCCCGGACTTCTCCCCCTACGCCGCTGTTCACGCTGCGCTCCTCGTTGTTTCTAGCCGCTTGTGTACATCAGCGGAACGTCAATTTCGTTTTGGCAGCGCGGACGATTTAGCTTAATCGCCCCGATCCTCTCCACTGTTCGAGTATCGAAGGTCCGCGCGATCGTTTGATACGCGTATCTATCCGAACTTCAATACGCGTCCGCGGCCCTTTAACACCAGCCATTTGCTTCTTTATTTCGCTATGCGTCGCGATTCACCTAGCAAGGTATCGATATCGGTTATCATAGGCTCATACCGCCATCGTTTGTCCAGTCGAACGGTCTCTTTGACGCCTTTTGACGCCTATGCTACGGTCGTTCCGATGACAAACTCGCGCTTCGATCGGTACGATCGGTAATGGTTTTGACCGAGCGTGCTCGACCGAATCCTGATTTGCTCGAGTGGCGAACAGAAGAGTAAAGGAGGAACCGTTTCTATTCGGACAGCGACGCGAGTACGAAACGAATTACGATCATTTCTGTTTACAGATCACGCGACGTCGTCCGACGCCATTGGCGATGCCGGGGACACGGAACTCGGTCACTTGAGTGACCATCAGATAAACGATGGCCTGCATGATCCTTTGAATCTGGGAGAGTCGGACCGGTTAAATCTAGGAGAATCAGATCGGCCACGGAAGGTCCGAAGGTCTCGCACTACTTTTACCACCTATCAGCTGCACGAGCTGGAGAAAGCGTTCGGGAACACGCAGTATCCGGATGTGTTCACCAGGGAGGAGCTCGCGATGCGGCTGGACCTGTCCGAGGCTAGGGTGCAGGTGAGCTCGTCGGCCATTAAATTTCATTCTCTTTCCGATTCATCGTAAAAAGCTTCGCTTTTCCATTTCCACAAGTTTCGAGAACAACGCTGATCTTTGATTAATTTCGTTCATCGTGTAAGTAACTTTGAAATAAAGTTCGTTTTTGAACGACACGGTTTACTTTTACGAAATTTCACGTCGCATGAAATTAGCTTCAAACGAAAATCTATTCACGCGATACTTCTCTCGTGGCGGGAATTTTGCGATATATACGAAGAAAATCGAGCTGGTGGAAGGACTTTTCGCACCGTTTTTAAAGTTATACGCGTGCGCCACGAGCTTTTCGTTCTTGATGTTTGAACGTGGAAACGCGTTGTTGTAATAAGCCCCAACCTCAGCACGGGCCTCTCAACTAATTACACGCTATTGTACCGAAAATCTGCCGCTCCTCTTCGACGTCTGTAATTTCGCGAAAGATGCGTCAGATCATACTCGTGCTACGGGGATTAATTTCATGCAAGCCAGTCGAACGGTAACGAGCATACGGGGTCGTAATCTGCTTTGAAATTATTTCCCAGCCGCGCATTTTAACGGTCTTTAGAGAGCGCCAGCTGCATATATTTTGACCTCAAAGAAGAAAAAACAAAAATATAGCAGGAGAATGTGAAAGATGGATAAAAAGTCGGGTAAAAAAGGAAGGAAACGAATTTATACGGACGATGTTAATTTTTCAACAATAACGAATTCGACTCGATTAAACTTCGATTTAAAGAAATTTCTGCACACCGGACATATTTTCCATTCCCCTTTCGCGACTCACCGTTTCCCTTCGAAAGTCTTCGGTCGGAATCCCATTGACCGCGTTAATTCGATCACGACCACGATAAATATCAGCCCCGGGGGTTCACCAGCATTATCACTTAATCATCCACGAAACGAGTAGAGATTACGTGACGTGGAATCGACGACGTCGACAGTGTCGACCAGGAGGGGGTGGTCCGGGGTATTGGCGGCGTTCCCATAAATTATGACTTTTCCATGGATGGAAATCGGTTACTCGATTAGCGTAACCATCCTGACACCCTCGCGTGTACGTGCGACGAGGAGACGAGAGATAGAATGGGCTAGATGAAGCGAGATAGCGTGTCGAAGCGAGACGGAAGAAGGGGTTGGTTGCGAAAGAGGGAGGAAGAGAGCAAGAAAGCTCCGCGTGTCTATATACCTATGTATATCTTTATCTATATCTATATATATCTATATATATATATATATATATATAAATTTATACGCGTGTGTAGGTGTATGGTGTGTACGTGTGCACGTGTGTGTGTGTAGAGTATAGAGAAGGGTCGTGGATGGAGCCGTCGTCGAAGGGTGGCGTGCAGTTGAAAAGAGACAGAGAGCATTCCGATTGGCCCATTGTGGTACAGCCAAGCGACAATGCCGGCAATTGGCCGTCGCTCGACAAAACCGCTAAATGATCCGCCGCGGCGCAGTGGTGCCACGGCCACTTTATTTCAATCTAGGAAATCCTCCGCTACTCCTCCTCCCACGCCGCCCTCAATTCCAGATGCGAAATTACCCATTTTTCGGTATTAATGGCCGACCGATGTATCGTGTTCGATCGTCGATCGGCCTCGATGGTAATGGAATCGCGAATCGTTTCTGCCCGTTCCCCATTCCCCCGCGTAACGGACGCGTCTGGTCGTCGCCGTTTCTCGTGGGCCTCTCGCTTTCGCTTTTTCGTCAACTGCGTTTGCCGTATCGATTCAACGGGATTTTTAATCGTAGTCACAGGTCGAAATAAAAGACTCGACCGGCAGAAGAGGCACAGGAGTAACAAGGATAATCTATTTAACGTGTGTCCGCGGCGCGAGTTTCAAACGCGGGGCTAGATGGAATTTCGAAGGGCGTAGGAAAAATGTTGGCGCGGCGCTTTCAACAAGTACGAGAGCGCGTCGACAGGAAATTTGCGGTGGAGACGGCGGTGGAAACGTTACACCGAGATTGTACGGACCGAGACGGGGGATTCAAACTTTCGGGTTCGCGTTGGGTCGGTTAAACGACGCGCTGCAAGGTTTGCGAGCACTTAGGCGTTAGCGGGGTATTCAGGAGCGATTAAATAATTAACAGCAATTAGGCAATTGAATTTCCTGCCCTAGCCTCGCGACGTTCGCCTCTTCCCCCCCCGGCTTCTCCCGTGCTCAGCTGAACGTTCCAAGTCACTTTCGAAACTTCCCTCGATTTCCAGTCCGTGCCACGATATTCCTAATTCCTCTTTCAAAATCTTTCGACCAATTTTAAACCTTACACTCGTTAATTACGAGCCCCTCTATTCTTCCTTCCGATTACCACCGCCGTTTAATACAACCCCGATTATTTCCAACCGTTCGTGCCCGATCGTTCGCCGAAGGAATGGCCAACCGATTCTTCCCTCGAGCGCCGATCGAGAAGACGCGTGTAACGATCCGAGCGCGTGATCGATCGGATCGATGCCGGCGAACGTTAGCCGGCTGAAAAGCACTGAATTTTCCACACAATAGAGGCAGGATGTAAAATGCAATCTTCCCCGTTCTTTGTCTGTTTCGCGGGGTCTGTCGGTGGCCACGAAAAATCAGAGCAGTCCAGGCGGAAAGCGAAAGCATTTATATGGCAGCGGGGCCAGCGGTAACGGTGTGCCGGGGGCTTTCTAAGGGGCGGCGAGGTGCGAGGGCAGGGGTGCTACCACTCAGAGGTACGGAGGAAATCAGGATAATTGTTAACAATTAGCTTAATCAACCTCGAGAGCAAGCTTTTGTTGCCTGGTTCTGATACGGCCGCCTGGGGTTCTCATACATCGGCCGCGTAGTTTCTTCCAAGAAATAATTCCGCGATTCCGCGCGACAATTTTCCCCCTTGATCCGAAACAAAGAAACGTGAAAATTGCGACGTAACAGTTTTCCAATCAAAATCGAGCACGTTGCCGTTCCTAGCAGAAACGCCGATGATTTCGTTCGTTTACATTGCCAAATCTATTTCTCCAACCTGTCGGCGAATTTTTGCACGAGCGTCCAAGTAGAAGTGGAGGTCCAATTTGTGGTTGTTGCGTTTTGCAGGTCTGGTTCCAAAATCGACGCGCGAAATGGCGCAAGAAGGAGAAAGTACTGGGCAGAGACACCAGTTTCATGCACGTCGAGCAGAGCGGTGAGTACGAGTTCGTTTTGAGAACCGTTTTTTCGCGATTCCCATTTCGGTTGAGACAGATCGCATGTTCCGTTGGTTAATACGCGAGAAGAGAGGAAAGCTGGGGAACGTAGATGTAATCGATGTCAATTACATCTAATTTCAGTGTCAGCCATCGTGGCCATTACACGCGAGCAGAACGCGACGGCAGCTTGACCGTTTAATTTTTCACGAGAGTTACGTTCGGTGCTGCGCGAAACTCGTTCCTCGTCGAATCGCCAGCATTTCTTCGTTTCTCTTTAATCCACGCTTTTTCGTCGATTTTGAAAAAGCATCAGGCGACGAAATCTCAACGTCTCTTTGTCCAAGATCAATTGGCTTTGTCCGAGATCGACTAACCTCTCTCGTTCCATTCCACGATTTCCTAGAGTCTCCCTAGATCCGTCTAGCCTGCCCTAAACAATCGACGCATCGAGAGAAACCGGCAGATAGAACAAACGCCACGATCAGGGCCACTCCTCCATAGTCCTGAACGGCCAATTGATTTTAGACAAACGATGGAACAATGACGCAGTTGGGTCGCGAAATGCTAATTCCCCTCGGCCAAGCGCAACCCCCGTGGCGGTCGAAAAACTTTGCAACGATCTAAAATCCCTGCAAAAACGGTGTGATTGCAGGTGTCAACGAGCTGTCCCTTCACGCCCGCCTGCTCCAAACCGCCGGCGGTGTGCCAGGTGCGGATCCATCGGGAGGACCAGCGGGTGCCTTTCCCTGGTTCATCCCGCCGGTGTTCCCACCGCCGTGGCCGGCCAGCGCGCCGAAGCTGCCCCCGTTGCACGCGATCCTGTCGCAGTATATCGGCCTACCCCTTCCGCAGAACCTGGCGTCCCTCAGCACGGTCCTTCCGGTCGGCTTGAACCCGGCCACGACCCTGAACCACAACAACGTCAACGGACACACGCTCGGAAGTCACATACCTGGACATCCGCTGAACTTGGGTGTGCAGAGTCTGCCGCAGAATCTCAGTTCGAAGCACGACAAGGAGGAGGACTCGGCCTCGTCCGACGACGAGATTAGGAGACAGAGCGCGGAGGTGCTGAGAGTGAAGGCGGAGGAGGTTCTACGCAAGGTGGACAATTAACTGTGGAGGACGTGAAGGAAAACTCGATGGCCTGATGTAAATACGGAGGACGAGGGTCGAGAGCAGGATGGATCGGGTGTTCTCGAAGACGTCGGTGATTCACGAGGTTCAGAAGGATGCCTTGACTTTAGTGCTTGAACTATGGGGCCTGTAGTGGGAGTACGATTTGTAGGGGGGTTGGAAATCTAAGAGTTTCGAGTATTCGTATTTTTTAAGGTAACGCAACGAGCTAGTCTGTTGGGGTTATTCGATGCAGACGTTTATTTTCAACGGGGGGGTAGAAGCATTGTCGAAGCCGCTGGCGGTTTTTCGAAGATTCAGGGCTATTTTTTTTTTTGTTTCAAATTGCGGTGCATTTTGTCATGTTCTTTCAGTCGAGAATTATTTCTTCGCAATTAGTGGTACGTAGAGATGCGATATCGTAGCCATCGATTTCAACGTCGAGGACAGTTACGTGATTTCGAAGAGTTACTTTTTACCACGCCAAGCGGTGTCTCGAACGACTTGACGGTTTATGTGAAAATCGCGATATCTTCTCGAATTTTTAACCGACGGTAAGCGTGAAGAATCTCGATTGGACACGAGCTATCTTGGAGGCTCGAGTTTCATAGAAACTACGAGGGGCACGAACTGCTAGCGAACGGAGAACTTTTGTAATATACATGTATCATACGCAAACGTGCATATATATATATGCATACATATATATATATAGATCACGTATAGTTTCTTTCATGTAAATATGTAGCTAATTAATTATCTCGAGAGAAATATATGACACGACTAAGATTTATCAACTTGTCATTTCTCCAACCCCATATCGCGATCCCTTCGAGCCACTTTCCCCATAATCGATACGCCCCAATTACCCGTTAAACAGACAAATAATCCAGTCTCCAACGAAAATCGATCCAAATTTTTTTACGACCCGCCTAACACTCCCGAACCATCCACACGACACGAGGGACCAAGAACACGAACCCCCGAATGACAGCTAATGAACGTATTTTCGCCAGAGTCACCCCCTAATTTTCCCTCTGTGAGAACACGATTAACGCGGTTAACACGCGACAAAATCGCTTCCGTGTCATTAATCATGAAAAGATTTCGTATTGGCTGGCGTCGTTGCGACGATTTCCTGAATTCTGGATCGGCTGGAGGCAGCTGGCCAGGCGGTCTCCGCCCTCGTGTACGCACACAGGGCGACTCGATTCCCACGGACTCTTTCGGTGTAAACATCGACGGTGACGTTTAATCGCGCCACCCGTTCGCTCTGTTCGCCGGCTCGCCTTCCCACGTGCCCTGGTCAGGTATACCATGCTCATCCCGGGTAACACGCACAACGGCAATTACAATCCAACCAATTTATCCGGCTTATCAGAAATTTATCTTTGGTAAGGACGAGGCGCGGAGCGACGACACCGCCGCGCGACAATTATCGTTATCGTTATTGAACGGGTCCGTGGCGATGTCGAGGGAACGAAAGCACCGGGGGAAGTAATTATTGCGCCACCTGCGCCGGGACGATCGTCATCGCTGTGTCTTGATAAGATCGACCAGATAATGCCACGGGTTTGCGGGAAACGTTGTGGTTTATTTCCTGCCGGAGCTTTTGTGTTATGATATTTCGATAATACTCGTTATTCCTTCCTTTTTCTTCTCGTTTGTCTCGTTGCCATGTGCCCTGCAACTGTGACAATATCTTCGCGCTTCGGTTGATCCGGAGTTGGAACACGGGAGCGAATCGTGTCGAGCGTGTCAGCTTCGCTGATTAATTCTCAGTGGATTAGGTGATTTCGTTGATTTTGTTCGATCTTCGAACACTCACCCGGGAAGAAGTTAACACGATATTTTGTCGTCGGTTGAATTTTTATTTCCGTATCACGGGTGTTTAAATTTTACGACGTACAAACGGAGAGGTATATTTCGAGGTGAATTTTGGAGGAAAACGTTGAAGACGGTGGTTCTGGGAACGAATGGGTGGCACACTCGAGATATTTCGCAGACATTTTATATTCGCAACATTAGAAAGAGCACGCTTTGCATGCTATCGAAATTCCTCCCTCCCCCCCCCACTACACTACTCCGGGTCCACTTTCGCCCTGCTTTCATTCACCGCGTCGATTCGTAAGCATTCACACCTATACCTGTCCTCACACGAGGCACCGAGGTATCGATAGTTGCCAGGGGTTGAGAGATTACGGGGCGAGGTTCATTCTTCTTCGAAACGTGTCGTTTCTCCGGCAAAGCGTGCGGTATTTTCTTCGGTGACGTTCTGCGAATGGCGAAGGAAAAAGGGGCAAAACGAGGTGTGCAAAAGGTGGCCAAAAAACTTCATTTCGCGTGTGCAATGCACAATGGTACGCGATGCTTCGCTAAACATCGGTGGTGTCGAAAATTGCGAATTGCTCGGTCTCCGTCTGGACTTGAAATATTCCGAATGTAATGAATTTTTAATAAAACAGTCCATTACAGGAATTTAATAAACGTTTATTATTCGTTGGAATTTAATTGCCGTATTACAAGTTGGCGCTGCGTTTTTTAAACTCCGCTGCCGCGGAAAGAATTCGCGTAGGGCCAACGAGCAGAAGCATGTTCATCTTCGCTGGCTTTCTTTTTTCTTGTCCCTTCATCGCGTAATCATATGTTTTAAGGGGGTGGATGAGGGATCAGAGTTGAATACCACTGATCGCGATCGCGACGGCTACGAAGGACAATTAGATTAAAAGCAGCGCCTCTCGCGGCGGCTTGAGATCCATTAGTGCCCATTGTACCACCCCATTTGTACCCCCGACGTACCACCCCCGTGTGCCGTTACTTCAGCCCCTTCCATCTTCTCCCCTGAGCACAGCCACCATCTCGAAGCCAGGTACTTATTCTCAATAGTAATATGCTCACTTCATACTTCTATCCCCTCCTACTCCTCACCCTCTTTTCCCGCCTTCGACACCAACGAACACGTCTATGTTGTTCTCGTCCTCTCTTTCCTGTGCCAGCACATACGTTCGTTCCGTTACCCTCTTTCCGTCTCCGTCAACGTCACCGTCTACTTCCTCCCTCTCGCTATCCCTCCCGCCTTTTCTATTCCTACGTTCTTCTTTTCCGCGTTTTCCATCCTGCTCCCTTTCTCTGTTCTTGAGGAGCGGAAAGTCGGGAGAAGTGGCACGGTCTGAAAAGATTTCTCCGCTTGTGAAAATCACTAGCTGCGCTGATACCACGTCCAAGAACACCGGCATTAATGATACCCTGAATGACATCAATTAGTCCATCTGCCGTGATAAACCTCCATCGTCGAGATTACTACCTATTCTCGACGCCTTTTCTTTCCTGGCAACCACCAGCAGACGCTAAGTAACTGATTTTCCCTGATTGCACTGTCCTATCGTTCACCGCGAAATCGCGGCGCATAACGTTAAACAACGGTAAACTTCGTTGCCAACGCCAACTGAAATCGCCTCTTGCGCGTCCCCGTCTATTCTATCCGGTTTCATTATTGCCCGACGCTTTTCCCGAGAACTACTTATACTCCGATACTCGCCCTGAATTCGAGAAATCTAACGACTGGCCCTCGAGTTTCTCGTGCTTTCGAAATATCCATTCCTGTCTCCTCCACGTTTCCTTTTCCTCTTTCTTTTGTATCCGACGATACTTCGAGCAGCAACGAAGAGGTTCCAACATCGGATACACGCCGGGATCAATTTTCCTCGATAAAATAATATTTTACCAAATCGATTTCGATTTCGATACTTCTTTTCCAAACGAGCGGGAATCACGTTATTTTCCTTCATTTTTGGACACAGGTAAATATTCGCCGTACTTCCTCCGACGACAAAGTTACCAGGAAAAATACGTCGTCGCTGGTTTCGGTTCGGTAGGTGCTGCGATTTTTCCGCTCGTTCCCGTGACGCTTAAATCGTATTCACATTTGCAAGTTGTTAGAGAGCATCGAGCCACTCGAAAGCAGAGCCATAATATAATGAGTGTGCCGTAAGCACACCGTTTTCGTGTGCTTACGGCGTGCAACGTGAAACCATCGTGATACGATTGCGTCGCTATTGTTTACCGGTTTATCTGATGGGAAATTACTACGTTTTCAAAGCTGGTACGCTTCGACTCGTATACTTTGGATCTTACAGGCGCCATTTTGCCTGATGTATTATTAGCACTGTCTGCCATTGCCATTCCCGTTGTTTCTCAGGAACAAATGTTCCAAATTCCGCGGTGATCGAAATTCGTCGCGACAGATGGATCACAATCGTACAAAATAACAAAAGCAAACGAGCTGGCGACAAATAAAGGAGGCGGAAGAAAGAGGTGGAAGGGAAAAAAAAACCAGCCAATTACAGGGAAGTTTCTGGGCTAAGTATTCCCAAAACTTCAATGGAACGCTCGTGGACACCCGTGGCGTAAAAAATTCCGCGCGAAGACACAGAAACGGGAGCCGTCGACGCGGACGTTTGAGAACCGCTCTCGTTCACACGTTGTGAAGCTGAGTGTACGATTATGCTTAAAAATTAGTGTCGTTGCGTTCTAACTCCATACACACGGTGCGTACACACTTCATTAAGGCCATTAGAAGGCATCTGGGCACAGCAAGGCGACGACCTGCAACCCCCGACACCGATCTCTTTCGCCTTTTCAACCCCTCCAAGGGTGACCGACAATAATGGCTTTTACGCCGATAGGCTTACGCCAGATATCGTGAGCACCCTGTACGCCTGCACCCCTGCCAATTGAGATACCTGCACGGTCCATGGACATTTTCTTCTCCTAGTTTCCCTTTGCCCGATCGTTCTCTTCTCGAAGGAAAAACGGAAAAATTGACATTCAACCCCAAAGTGATCAGAGAGATCGATCGACAGTTCGTGAATCTCGAAGCTCCGCAAAGTTCCAGCTACTCCCAGTCGAACGTGGCACAAACTTGGAAACGTTGCTCCCAAAAAGTACTCGAACTAAATTCGCTGTAGACCAGATTTTCGTTAATCCGGCTGGATTAAAAA